GAGATCCCGCTGACAACTGGTCAGGTTCTTGCCTTATGGATGGGCTATGGGCTCATGTTTTCTTGTTGCTCCTTTGTTATTGTTCCTTTGTTTTTGCACCCTTATTTTAATAGCTGTTTTACTGTTCCTCTGTTCTTGCAGCTCTTTTACTGTTCCTTTGCAATTGGACCTTTATTCTTGTAGCTCCTCTGTTGTTCGTTTGTTCTTGCATGTTCTTGCTGTCATTTACTGCACCCAGTTTTGGCTGCCTCCTATGTCAGGTGTACCACACAGCTGCTACACATCAACTGTTGCCTATGTCAGGTGTACCACACAGCTGCTACACATCAACTGTTGCCTATATCAGGTGTACCACACAGCTGCTACACATCAACTGTTGCCTATGTCAGGTGTATCACACAGCTGCTTCACATCAACTGTTGCCTATGTCAGGTGTACCACACAGCTGCTACCACATCAACTGTGCCTATGTCTACACATCAACTGTTGCCTATGTCATCAACTGTACACATCCTATGTCAGGTGTACCACACAGCTGCTACACATCAACTGTTGCCTATGTCAGGTGTACCACACAGCTGCTACACATCAACTGTTGCCTATGTCAGGTGTACCACACAGCTGCTACACATCAACTGTTGCCTATGTCAGGTGTACCACACAGCTGCTACACATCAACTGTTGCCTATGTCAGGTGTACCACACAGCTGCTACACATCAACTGTTGCCTATGTCAGGTGTACCACACAGCTGCTCAGGTGTACCACACATCACATCTGTTGCCTATGTCAGGTGTACCACACAGCTGCTACACATCAACTGTTGCCTATGTCAGGTGTACCACACAGCTGCTACACAGCCTATGTCAGGTGTACCACACAGCTGCTACACATCAACTGTTGCCTATGTCAGGTGTACCACACAGCTGCTACACATCAACTGTTGCCTATGTCAGGTGTACCACACAGCTGCTACACATCAACTGTTGCCTATGTCAGGTGTACCACACAGCTGCTACACATCAACTGTGCTACCTATGTCAGGTGTACCACACAGCTGCTACACATCAACTGTTGCCTATGTCAGGTGTACCACACAGCTGCTACACATCAACTGTTGCCTATGTCAGGTGTACCACACAGCTGCTACACATCAACTGTTGCCTATGTCAGGTGTACCACACAGCTGCTACACATCAACTGTTGCCTATGTCAGGTGTACCACACATACACATCAACTGTTGCCTATGTCAGGTGTACCACACAGCTGCTACACATCAACTGTTGCCTATGTCAGGTGTACCACACAGCTGTTACACATCAACTGTACCACACAGCTGCTACCTATGTCAGGTGTACCACACAGCAGCTACACATCAACTGTTCCCTATGTCAGGTGTACCACACAGCTGCTTCACATCAACTGTTGCCTATGTCAGGTGTACCACACAGCTGCTACACATCAACTGTTCCCTATGTCAGGTGTACCACACAGCTGCTACACATCAACTGTTGCCTATGTCAGGTGTACCACACAGCTGCTACACATCAACTGTTGCCTATGTCAGGTGTACCACACAGCTGCTACACATCAACTGTTGCCTATGTCAGGTGTACCACACAGCTGCTTCACATCAACTGTTGCCTATGTCAGGTGTACCACACACAACTGTTGCCTATGTCAGGTGTACCACACAGCTGCTACACATCAACTGTTGCCTATGTCAGGTGTACCACACAGCTGCTTCACATCAACTGTTGCCTATGTCAGGTGTACCACACAGCTGCTACACATCAACTGTTCCCTATGTCAGGTGTACCACACAGCTGCTTCACATCAACTGAATGAATACTTTTATTATACCAGGCAGACCTGATAAAAAGAACATGATGAGGACCCATGAAATGGTTCTTATCAGAAATGACACTTGTCCAGATAACAACAAACAAGACATACTGCTGGGAAGAAACAAATTGTTCTTCACAACTGACATTCGCCACACCCAAGATGGCCTTGAGCGGTCTGTACAGTACTGACTTTTCAAACTTTTTCACAACAATTTGTCACCCGACTACACTCACCATACCAGTTGTGGCCCTCATCGACTGAAGACACACTGTATGGAGAGCTAATTACACACAAACAGAAATCTTTATCTCTTAAACCAAAAATGAAGAAAAATACAGAATCAAGAAGGACAAGATGTTAAGATCCTTCTTCTTGTTCATGTTCACAGGCAATAAACTCTTTCAGAATGTCTTGCTTGTTGGTCAACTTTAGTCTTGTTTTGGGACTTGCAAGTTATGTGCACCTCTGTTGAACAGATCTGGCTTATTTGTATGTCACGTAGCCAGCAAAACACCCCCATGCTAGTAGTTTGTCCCCAATTTGTGAACCCCTATGCAAATTATCTGTATTCAAATATGGACTATTCCATTATAAGTAAATAGTCCTTCTTTAATAAGTATGGGTCAGGATATTTGTAAAGGAATCTTGTTCAATTATAAATCTATTGGGGTGAGTTATATTATGAATTCACTCATAGGTAAGTGATTTTAATGAGCAGTGAATCCATTTTCCATGGCCGAACTACCGCTTTATTGACGGAGGGATCTTTCCTGCTTCTGGTTCGGGTGAGTTTGAAATGTTGGCGTCATTCTAGACATAGCTCCCGAAGCCAGCAAACGTTCTAAAGCCTTTTCTGTCAACTGACATCTATTTCTGGTTTGAAAGCCACCCTCTTCACCTAGAAATTTCAAGAGAGTATGGGTAATTTGTACTTTAAATAACTTAGCTGAAGTAATTTTTTCCTGATGGATCAGTTAGATGGGTGAAGATATGAAACACTGGCTATACACTGTCGTCGTTGTTGAACTCATATTATAGCTACAATCAAGCTGGAGAGGTTCACCTTCATTCAAATGAAAGATGTCCCCTTATATTCATACATTGACCCTCCATACACCTCTGGAGTGATGTATCCTTTATTCAGGCAAAACTGATGTGTAGAGAGAAATGTGGCATACTTTTAGGTCTGGGATTGACCTAGACAGCCACTTGCTTGTTTCACAACTAATTCTAGCGGGTTTTTTTTTTTTGAGAAAAGTTCTGTATTGTATGTTAGGTTACCCTGTGTGGGTTCTAAGCCCTATTATAGGGAAAACAAGAAAATACCCCCTGCCTACCCAAAAGCATGTCGTAAGAGTTGACTAACTGGGAGCTTCCTTCAAAGTCAGAGTGCATTTGCCTGAGAGGCAAGGAACCAACAGTCTGCATAAAAAGTAGTCAGATCTGTCAAACGGATGCACATGCAACACTCAGGTTCTGGAACAGAACTGCAGTCCAGAAGTGGACGAACAGCCAGAACTCTCCGCCGGAATTTACAACCGGTGATTGCGATGAAGAAGAAAAAGTATGTTAGGTTCTCCTTGCTTAAATATTCCACGATCTACTGTGTGTCTGTAATAATTAGGAATTCTTTAATGCAAAGGAAACAGGCAATCTTATTCTTATGATTGGCAAACGCTGTTTTCACTGAAGAAATAAGGGGTATTGCTATTGACGCTTGCTAGGTTACATCTGGGGCTAAATCCCTGTCAGGTGTTTTTCTTCTATATAAAAGCCAATCACTGTTTTCTCAGCTCGAAACTGAAGATCTATACTGTGGAATAAAGGTACCAAGGTGCAGGAGTTAATGATTGGTTAACCCAGTTTTCACTTTATTCTCAGAATGTGTCAGCTCTGATAAGGTGACAGTGCTGGCTTAACTGGGACCTATGTCAGGATCAAAGTGGGAGTGATCCATCCACCATAGTACTGCCATCAATCACCCATCTACCAGTACTTAGTACCAGTCACCAGGTACCCCACTTTACTATATTCCAGTGACTTGACCAACTACGTGAGAAGTGACATGATGGCTCACACTCCTTAGAAGTCAGCTGAAGACATCACATCATCATAAGTGTGTCAAGCTGAAGGTTTTGACCCCACAGACTGCCACTAGCCAAAGCCTGAACACTGTGTACAAAACTCAGTGTTAATAAACTTTATATCTTTTAAAGGAAGTCAATCCCTATTCTGCCACTGAAGACACTGACTCTTTAACAGTTGGCAGATTGTCCAAGAGAACTGCAGAATTGTGTGTGATAGTGTGTGATAGTGTGTGATAGTGTGTGATAGTGTGTGATAGTGTGTGATAGTGTGCCAGTTGGAATCTGCGGCAGAAATCGACTTGGACTAAGGACAGGAACTGATCAACCATTCTCTACAACTGATGATAAGTACATAAGACCAAAAAGTACAGCCAACCGGCCAATTCATGCCACAAGCTTACCATTACCGTATAACATCATCAGCTGTGTGATGAAAGCTATCAGTGAATGTGCGTCAGGCCTGTAGTAATTCCTGACTGAGAAGTTATTTGTGTCATAACACTCTACTGGTCTTTTTTTCTGTGTCAGTCTATTGAGATTTATTTTAATATTTGGAACTTACTACATCATGTACTGTTATTCTGAAACTACCAATGCTGGTGTCTAGTATTTCACAGTTCACTTTAGTTAAATATCTGTGTGTATTGTTATACTATCAGATTTCTGTAGGTACCATTTTTTTTTTTTACTATGATAGTGATTTTGTCCAGTCTGGGGGCAATTAAGTGGTGAGGAAGTCTGGCCAAGGTGTTCTCAGGAATTTCTGTGGTGCCAAATACTTGAGTTGCCTCATCCCTGGGGTCGTATTGGATAAGTGTTGGAGCTGCGGAGTACCACCAAGACTAATATGGGCTGCCATAACAACAATATATCACTTCAGGGTGTCTTATATTACTTGGAAAGCCCCTATTTAGACATGTGACACTAGCTGGCAACCTGCTGACCATGAAGCCGTGCAGACACACCTGGTCCCGGGTGGACCACCAGGTGTGGTTCGGCACCTCTTTATTCCACAAAGTAAAGCACCCCTTTTCACCTTAGAGAAACAAAAATTGAAGGACTTACTTCTTTGTCACGGAGATTCAGGTCGCCACCAAATATGACAGTGTGGTCTTTGGGAGCCTGCAGCATTCTGTCGAAGCATATCGTCAGTTGCTTCTTTCTCTCGGCCGCGTACTCTGCTGTACTCTCCAGATGGCTTGTCAGCAAAGTCATGGACACGTCCTTCACTTTACACTAGAAGCAGACAGAAAAACTGACGATTTTCTTTTATGTTGCTTGAGGCATGGTAAGACAGGTATATTATCTAAGAAAAATTTTTTATGTCACATAGTACATGGTAGGATTTATATTTTGCCTGTTTTAAATTTGTTCACGCAAAATTGGTATCCAAGGACACAGTGAAGCAGCTGGTCAGTTGGATCAGCCTCGACTAATCACCAAGATGTGCTTCAATGTGTCAGTGAAATATGAATGAAACTGGTATACAAATCTACATGCACAACTGCAGTGTGAGGAAATAAAATGGTTCCAATGAAAACCTTACAAGTGTGACAGAAATTACAAAAACCAAGCAACTGTCTTGTAACCTGTCAATTTTTGTCAGTAAGGATGTCAAAAGTGCTAACCAGTGAAATCATCAATGATGTCATAATGACAGTTGAGAGACAGCTGTTCTACTTTTAACATGCACCAAAAAGGAACAGCATTCTGTTATCTGGGTTGTTGTTGTTTTTTTCCCAGTAAAGACATGTAACCTGTAGAAATTCATGGGAAAATGCAGGTCCAGTCAGGTGATGCATGCCTGTTAGTCCAGCTAGTGTATAAGTGAAGTAGGAGGTTCCAAACTGCATGACTTTTGTGACAAACTGTTCATGCCCTGGTTTCTTTTGATTAAATGTCCTCAGATAGATCTTCAAACATGTGGAGTCATCAAGTTAACAACAACAAAACACACACAAAAAAGGTTAATCAAACAGGTGATATCTGTGCCAAAGTCACACTGGTGTGTAAAGTTCATGAAGCTTTGTGAAGCATGGGAGCACACTGGCATTCATGTTGCGTTGACGGGTTCTTAAGTAAACATCTGACGCCACTGGAAGCGAGTGGAGCATGAGCCACAAGAGTTGCAGGAGATGTGTCGCTTGGAGTTCATGACTGGCTTGCGGACATGTCACTATGAACATTGTTGGTTCAGTGTGGACTGACAGTACAAGCAGGTTGTGAACCCCAGTTTTTGATGACAGAGAGAGATCCAGGAGAAATGTACTGCAGGAGGGAAAAATCCTGACATAGTTTGAGTTGGTGGTTACGATAGGACATGTAACCTGTGCCAGATATTTTAAGGTTGTTAACATTGCTACAGGTAAAGTAGCTTATTGTGGTGCCCCTGTTTGGGTTGGCCTTCATTTACTCCAGTTATAATGACCATAAGCATGTGCCGTGCCAATGAGAGTGAGCAGCCATGATTAGTCAGCTGAGAACCTTGAGTTTATGTGTGCAGGAGGACTGACATTTATAAACATATCCCCTAGATACTTGGCAAGTGTGCGTTGCACCCCCAATCCCACACTACAATGTCATACTCCAGTTTTGGTCGCACATATCCTGTGCATACTTGTCGTACAGTGTTGGCATATGCACCCCAGCTTGTTCCAGTAAGACCAGACATACAAAACTGACCTTAAAAAAAGCTTTTAACACAAGCAATTGGTCAATAGAAAGCTACCTGTACTTCCAGAAGGTTGCGACTCATGAGAGTCGTGGGGAAATCTGCCACGTTGATAGCTCTCAGCTGTACAGTATTTTTCTGGAGCAGCATAGCAGTGAAGTAGGATCCCTTGGGACAGAAAGACAACAGATATATGTGGCATGTATAAATGAATCGTGTCACATTATAAGGTTAAGGAAAGGTTAAACCCGCAAATTGAATCTGATTAAATCTGTTGGAAACAATACTTTCTGTAGGTACATACTAGTTAAAGATTGAAGCAACAATTAATTTTGGGCCTAAAATCAACATATTTTCAAGGATATTGATAGAACATGTCATATTTTATGCGGAAAATAGCCAAATTTGTACTCAACATTTGCTAATGTATTTCAAAAACTAATAAAGATGGTTTAATAAAAATTTGCCTATGTATTTAGCATTATATTTCAAATTTCTAAATACTGTTCACTTAAAGCAACAGTTTAAAAGTTATGTTCATTTATGTGGTACAATACTATTTTCCACACAAAAATTAGGGGTACTGATTACTATATATGACAAAAATGCAAAAAATATTCAGACTGTTGTATTTATGTTAGTTCAGTCCGATTCACTAATCATTTCTGATGTGTGTGCCATGTAAGAAGACAATATGTTAGTAACTTTTTGAGATATATGCAATGTGGTGAAAAAAGTCAAAAGAGAGGATTTTGAGAGAATCACTGACAAGTAATCGACCAAGCTTGTTTTCACAATAATCCTTTACCTAATAAGTCTCTGCTGCGTGTGAGTCATCCTCAGGGTATTCCTGAGCTGTCTGAATACTTTAGCTTGCTCTTTTTTATCTTCTTATCCATTTTATTACATTTTGCAGCTGCTCTTTCACGTGCCTTATCTTTTTCTTCTTCACTTCCTCTTTTACGGCTGTGGGTGTCGAGGGAGATATAAGGTTCTGTTTCTAGCTCTTCTGGCTGCCTCGACCATAGGCACATCGTGCTGTTGTAGAGTTTCTCTGATGTTATCCTTCCATATTGTTCTTGGTCTACCTCTTGCTCTACGTCCTTCTTCTCTTGCCATGTACGCTTTGTATGGTATGGCGTCACAAGGCATTCTCTCTAAGAAGGCAAACCATTTCACTTGCTGTCTTTGTATGTAATTTAGAATTGGTTCTGTGCCGACTTTTTTTCTCATGATCTCATTCCTGATCTTATCTCTTATGGTCACACCTACAGCCCTTCTCAGACATCTCATTTCCATGGTTACTAATTTTCTTTTATGGTTTGCTGTGAGTGACCATGTCTGGCACTGGTAGCAGAGAGTTGGAATAAATATGCTTTAAATAAGATGTCTCTTTGTTCTGATTGGGATTGTCTTATGCTGTAAGAGGGGGACTAGCTGTCCCAATACTTGGTTTGTTTTACTGCATCTAATGTCAATTTCTTTATTCAATTTCCCATCTTCGGTAAATGTAGTTCCCAGATATTTAAACTCAGATGCCTGTTTAATGCCTTTGTACTCTATTGCTATGTTTAGATCTGTCTTCTTTTTTCATATTGACATTGCTTCTGTCTTTTCAGTGTTGATTCTTATATTATTTGTTTTACATTCTTCATTCATGGATGTTAGATGTTGTTGCAATTTCATGGCTGTATCTGCTATCAAGGCCTGGTCATCTGCAAAGAGTAATTCGTTGATCTTACTAACATTTTCATTCATGGGCTTGGCATTCTTGCATATACTGTCGATGTAGGTGATAAACAGCAGTGGTGATAAGACACACCCCTGTCTTACTCCAGATGTTACTGTGAATGGATGAGATGTTCCCTGATTTATTCTAACTACACTTCATCAATCCCCGTATAAACTTTTGCACACTTCGATGAGGTGTTCGCTTACTCCATATCTTGCCATTACTTTCCATAATAATTGTCTGTCAACTCTGTCAAATGCCTTCTCCTGGTCTACGAATGCCACAAATAAGTTCTTATTGTATTCAATGTTCTTTTCTATTAACTGTTTAAGTGTGAAGATAGCATCTGTGCAGCTTCTATTTCTCCTAAATCCAATCTGTTCTTCTGCCAGCTGTGGTTCTATTACTGGTCTCAGTCTTGTTTCTATTATCTTGTCATACATTTTGCCAACATGGTTTAAAAGAGAGATGCCTCGGTATTGACCGCATTCTCGTTTGCTTCCTTTGTTCTTCCACAATGGTATAACTATTGCATGTTGCCAATCAATAGGGGCAGTTTGTTGTACCCATGCTTCATTAAATATTCTGTGGAGCCAATGATGCTGCTTTCACCTGCTGTTTGAATTATTTCTGTTGGTAATCTATCAGCTCCTGGTGCTTTATATTTGGGAGACTGCTTAATGACTTTTTCTATTTCATCCATTAGTATGTGTGGTTCTAACACTGTTGCTCTGTGCTCTTCAGTTGTTCTTTCCTGATGATCTCCTAGAGGATTAAACAGTTCATTGAAGTATTCCCTCCATCTTTCTGCTATCTCGGGTGGATCTATCAATACCTTCCTGTCTTATCATTAATTATTTCAGTGGGGTTGTAGCTCTCATCTCTTTTCCGCATATTTTTAACTACTTTGAAACATTTTTTGCTGGTTGTTTTCTCATTTTCTGCGAATAACTCACCGAAACGTTCCCAGGCTGCTTGTTTTGCTTTCTTGACACTCCTTGTCTCCTTTGCAGTCTACAGTTTATATAATCTTCTTTTTTCTTTGATTTTATCCAATGTTTATATAAGTCCTTTTTCTTTTACTTCTTCTGGTAATCTGGTAATCCTAGTTTCAGCATCATAGCAAACGGGTCACCCCATTTACTTCTTCGCAGCACCAAGGTGAATATTTGTTATTTCCCTGTCTGTTTCCACTCTTCTGTTTTCCACATAATTCTTCTGCAATACTAAGCATAGTGTTTTTATATTTACTCCATTCTTCTTCAATATTGCCAAGTACATGTGGAAGTTGTTTGAATGCTGTCTCTACTTTCTGTTGTAACTGTTCTTTTACTCCTTCCTTTTTCTTGATGAGATGTTTTTGGTTAATTTCTTTCTGTTTTTCTTTAATGTAAGACGTTTTGCTGTTAACACAACTATTTTATGGTCAGTGTCACATAGACCATTAGGGATTGCTCTTGAATCAAGAATGCTCCTTCTTCCTTGAACTCTGGTAAGTATAAAGTCAATCTGGCTCTTGATGGAGACATCATTCCATTTGTACCAAGTGTAAAGTTGTGAATCTCTATGATCAAAGAATGTGTTCGTAATAAAAAGATTGTGCTGGCTGCATAGATCCAATATTCTTTGACCATTTCCATTTCTATCACTGTTCTTAGCTGCATGTGGACCTAGAAACTGTTCGTACTCTCTTCTGTTATTTCCTACCTTCCCGTTGAAGTCACCCATTACATATAGTATGCTGCTTCCCTCAACTTTCTCTATCTCATCAGACAGATCGTCAAAGAATTCATCTTTCTGCTCTTCTGTATAATTATCATTGCATGGTGCATATATCTGTATATATGTTTCAGCTTGTTCTCCTCTTTTAATTTTCAAAGTAATAATTCTATCTGAGTGATAATGTATGTCTAATATGTAGTTAGATATGTCCGGATGCACCAGGAAACCCACTCCATTCTTCGATTTTTCTCCTCCTGCATATGTTAGTAGGTAGCCTCTGTGTATTTTTTTGTTACTATTTCCCTTGCGTCTTATGTCAGCTAGCACCATTAACTTGATTTTCCTGTTTTCCATCATTTCAATAATCTCTTATTTCCCAGGCCAGCGGTGTTAAGTGTTGCAATCTTGTATTTCGCTTTTCTGTCTTGTAGTCCCTTAACATAGCCATGGTCAGATACCGTTTAATCAGTCCGTTTATATCTCATCGTGTTTTCTGTAGCGATAATAAATCCATTGCCTGCTTGCTAGGCCTGTCGCAACTTCACCAGAGCCCAGGGTGGCCTTCATGGCTACCGTAGCGGTCCTGTGGCACGAGGCCACACCATACTTCGCCCACACCTAGCAATCCCCTACTTTGTTCTGTTACCACCTCTCACGACGCGGACGTGGTGTTGGACTTTGAGAGACCATGCCTGATCAAATCTACAAAATACGGAAACACTGTTCCTCAGCTTAGCCCTGACTAGTTCTCTTTCATTATATGTAATAACAGCATCATTCACTGCTATTTCTAGCCTATGTCTTCTAACATGGGTTACATAGATTAGACTATACCAGTTATTTTACAATTTCTAACAAATGGGCGAAACAATTATTAAAAAGGGTTAATAAATAATTTGAGTTATGACAGTTTGAATAATTTGCCTATATAATTTCGTAAATAAACAATTACCATGCCATTGTAAAAAATTAATTAAAATTACTTTCACGTTGAATTTTGCAACAAGACTTCCGTTATTATGTGCAGAAATTAATACACTTTCATGTAGTGAAAAACAAGTTAAAAGTTCACAATTTTGAAAAGACTAAGCAGTTTGATTGGTTTAACCTGTCCTTAATGTTGAAGGGGTCGATTTCAATGCATCGAGTTTTAACTCACATCACTAAGTCTCTCGTGGCAGAACAGCTAGCCTTCTGTCAACAGTCTCACACAAAGCGCGATCACCATAGCTTCTGGGTCTCTGTACAAACAGCACCCATGAACCTAATGACACAGCTATGAAACAAACCCATGACCTTCAGTCACAGCCTGAGGGAACAGGTTAACTACAAACAAATGTTTTATGTGACAATATGGTGGACAAAGATGTATGTGTCACACCAAACTGCTTGTCTTTATTGAAGGAGAAATATTTAGTGTCTGTCACTGTCATTTCCTACTGAGGTAGAAATACTTAGCGTTAGCTGGCCTTAAATAAAACCACTTACCAGTGTCATCACAGAAGCCTCCACACTGGGAAACACCTGGTAACTGCTACATTTCTCCTGGATGATCTTCAACGATCTGCCAACCACCTCCTGCAGGAAGATGATCTCTGGCTGTTCTCTGTAAACAACAGACATTATACCAGTATGTCTAAACAACAGACATTATACCAGTATGTCTAAACAACAGACATTATACCAGTATGTCTAAACAACAGACATTATACCAGTATGTCTAAACAACAGACATTATACCAGTATGTCTAAACAACAGACATTATACCATGTTGCAGTTGTCTAAACAACAGAAATTATAACAGTATCATTATCATCAAGTGCCTTGCTGACCGACATGGGTGATCTTGCTTCTCCTCAGTCTGCAATCTGCTTGTATCAGTTTGTGTGCTGACACCCCTCTATGCCATGACAAGTGGCTCTCCAGAATCTCCTTGCACTGTCTTCTTCTGTCTCTTATTACACTGATCTTGTTGGTGGTCACAGCATGTTCCAGTCTCACCCCTCAATGCCATTGCTGGTATGTATCAGTTTGTATGCTGACACCCCTCCATGCCATCTGCTGGTATCAGTTTGTATGCTGACACCCCTCCATGCCATCTGCTGGTATGTATCAGTTTGTATGCTGACACCCCTCCATGCCATCTGCTGGTATCAGTTTGTATGCTGACACCCCTCCATGCCATCTGCTGGTATGTATCAGTTTGTGTGCTGACACCCCTCCATGCCATCTGCTGGTATGTATCAGTTTGTATGCTGACACCCCTCCATGCCATCTGCTGGTATCAGTTTGTATGCTGACACCCCTCCATGCCATCTGCTGGTATCAGTTTGTGTGCTGACACCCCTCCATTCCATCTGCTGGTATCAGTTTGTGTGCTGACACCCCTCCATGCCATGACAACAGGCTCTCCAGAATCTTCTTGCACTGTCTTCTTCTGTCTCTTTTTACACTGATCTTTTTGGTGGTCACAGCATGTTCCAGTCTCATTCACCTTATCACAAAAATAATGACTCTTTCTGAATCTGATCTTCACGTCCTTAAAACACCTGCATTTTCATTTTTAGTTGTCTACGGAATTCTAAGGATTCTTCAGTAAAACATCTCCGATACCTCAAGACATTGGCTTGTTTTCTATTGGCCAGGATTTACAGCTATATGTTAAAACAGCCTCTGAATAGCATGCAATAATTCTTTTCCTAACCTCCAATGACATAGATTTGTTGCCCAACATAAAGCAATGATGTCATTTCCTGCCCTCACATCTGTCCAGTGTTTGATAACATATGTACATTTCAAGTCAACACGGTAGAGTGGTTAGTCAGCTTGCTCCCTGCAGACATGATCTTGGGTTAAACTCAAGTACTGGGGCAATAAAAACTAACCAACCATGAGTGAAATGAGATGTTTCAGTAATAATGCACACACAAACACTAAACACAGAAGAGACTGTTAGAAATGAACAGATCATAAGAACTGGTGGAATAACACCCATCATTAACTTCAGTGAAAAATCCCAGGTCAGGTCTGTGGCATTCCAATGGAAACCAAGCTGCATGGAACAGTACAAAACATTTGTGGCACCACTGACTTCATAAAGGCCTGTGGCCCTCTTCCTGGAAAACCACTGGCAGGGAGAAGGAACAGAAAGAGAAGAAACAGAAGAAGAAATTGAATGAGAAACCAAGAGTGAAATGATTAGGCCTCCTGGAGAGGTCAGACTGAACCCAGTGATGTTGGCAGCAAAAACATGAAACATAATAATGGAAACATTATAAAGCAGAGGCAGACCTAGAAGAAGAGGGACTAACGGAGTCACTAACAGCCTGAGACTTCACAACATCACAAGCAACTGAGAATTCCCTGGCTCAGCAACCTATTATTTGTTAAACTGTGAAACCTAGCGGCAAAAAGCAGACACAGATACAAACAGATGATTAGGAAACAACTTTATGGTCAACCTATCCTGAATAAATATAAATACTAGATACTTTTGATACATTTCTGACAAATGTCTGTCAAGGACAATGACAAGGAGGGAAACTGGCCATCCCACCTCACACGTCTATGGCCGTATCTGCTATCTACTTGTGATGTTTACTGTTAATAGTGTTGTTTCAGGTCAGTTCTACATCCTCTCCCAAAAGCCTAGCTTTCTTGGACAGGTCAAGGGTCATGGTAGTCTGTGGAGAATGATGTTGGAGAGTACAGTTTCTGGGAAATGAGGCAGAGGCTGACTGCGAACTGCCATGAGGACAGCGATGTTCTACAAAGGACATGCTGACTGACTGGTTGTTCCTACAAGACTGGTTATGGCCTAAAAGATGCAATTTCACATATCCTCTGTGAGGTACAGTAGCATGAGAGTAGCTCACAAGGCAGACTGTGCAGACGGTGGAGAGATATATAATATATACATGCAGACCTACAAACATTTGGAGTCATTGCATAAAGACATGACAGCTACTAACACACAAGCACTCACTGCATAAAGACATGACAGCTACTAACACACAAGCACTCACTGCATAAAGACATGACAGCTACTAACACACAAGCACTCACTGCATAAAGACATGACAGCTACTAACACACAAGCACTCACTGCATAAAGACATGACAGCTACTAACACACAAGCACTCACTGCATAAAGACATGACAGCTACTAACACACAAGCACTCACTGCATGAAGACATGACAGCTACTAACACACAAGCACTCACTGCATAAAGACATGAAAGCTACTAACACACAAACACTCACTGCATAAAGACATGACAGCTACTAACACACAAGCACTCACTGCATAGAGACATGACAGCTACTAACACACAAGCACTCACTGCATAAAGACATGACAGCTACTAACACACAAGCACTCACTGCATAAAGACATGACAGCTACTAACACGCAAGCACTCACTGCATAAAGACATGACAGCTACTAACACACAAGCACTCACTGCATAAGGACATGACAGCTACTAACACACAAGCACTCACTGCATAAAGACATGACAGCTACTAACACACAAGCACTCACTGCATAAAGACATGACAGCTACTAACACGCAAGCACTCACTGCATAAAGACATGACAGCTACTAACACACAAGCACTCACTGCATAAAGACATGACAGCTACTAACACACAAGCACTCACTGCATAAAGACATGACAGCTACTAACACACAAGCACTCACTGCATAAAGACATGACAGCTACTAACACGCAAGCACTCACTGCATAAAGACATGACAGCTACTAACACACAAGCACTCACTGCATAAAGACATGACAGCTACTAACACACAAGCACTCACTGCATAAAGACATGACAGCTACTAACACGCAAGCACTCACTGCATAAAGACATGACAGCTACTAACACGCAAGCAGTCACTGCATAAAGACATGACAGCTACTAACACGCAAGCACTCACTGCATAAAGACATGACAGCTACTAACACGCAAGCACTCATTGCATAAAGACATGACAGCTACTAACACACAAGCACTCACTGCATGAAGACATGACAGCTACTAACACGCAAGCACTCACTGCATAAAGACATGACAGCTACTAACACACAAGCACTCATTGCATAAAGACATGACAGCTACTAACACAAGCACTCACTGCATAAAGACATGACAGCTACTAACACACAAGCACTCACTGCATAAAGACATGACAGCTACTAACACACAAGCACTCACTGCATAAAGACATGACAGCTACTAACACGCAAGCACTTACTGCATAAAGACATGACAGCTACTAACACACAAGCACTCACTGCATAAAGACATGACAGCTACTAACATGCAAGCACTCACTGCATAAAGACATGACAGCTACTAACACACACGCACTCACTGCATAAAGACATGACAGCTACTAACACACAAGCACTCATTGCATAAAGACATGACAGCTACTAACACGCAAGCACTCATTGCATAAAGACATGACAGCTACTAACACACAAGCACTCAATGCATAAAGACATGACAGCTACTAACACGCAAGCACTCACTGCATAAAGACATGACAGCTACTAACACACAAGCACTCATTGCATAAAGACATGACAGCTACTAACACACAAGCACTCACTGCATAAAGACATGACAGCTACTAGCACACAAGCACTCACTGCATAAAGACATGACAGCTACTAACACACAAGCACTCACTGCATAAAGACATGACAGCTACTAACACACAAGCACTCACTGCATCATGACACTGCAAGCCCCTTCCGTCCGAGACTGGAGGTTGTCTGGGTCAAGGCCACCGAGATTCCAGGATAAGACTCGGATACATTTGCTGCTCTTTGGCTGTATCACTGGAGGGCTGCAACATGAAGCAAATACAACAGGTCTGTAGTGCGTCCAAAAAGTTAAGCCCTCGCACTTTAACAAATATCTTGAAAAATAATTTACAATTTCACAGGTTCTGATTTTTCTTAAAGCACTCAATTTATTTGATTTTTGTTTGACTAATAATTTAAATATAGTAAAGAACCCTTGTCTGAGCCTTTAGGCGTATAGGGCATACACAGATAGACTGTATTATAGACTGATTGACACTTAATGGGTGATGTGCTCAATAACACTCCGACTGCCTTTATTTCCCAGGAATTCACGTGGTGCCCACTTAATGCTGGGTTGACCGGAGAGCCAAAGGTAAATTTTTTTTTTTTTTAAGTCAGGTACCGCCAGGACTTGCAACCACGGCCTTCAGGCAAGCATCTAGCCGATACATCACAGCTGTGTTTGTGTGTGTGTACCCCTACACAATCAAATATGCAGTAACTGACACATGCAGTTGGAAATCAATTCACATAGGCAGTGATGCACCCCTGATTGTTCTGATAGCCTACCCCACATACAATGAAAATTTGTGTTAATCTAAACCCGTGGGAGGTTAATAGTGGAGACGACCCCACTGAGAGTTAAACGCTTCTATTACTCAATTAATTATTCTTAGTCACAGTTTCACTCACTGCAATCGGGTTTCCCATAATTAATTATCTGTAAGCATGCTGTGTCCATTTTCTTCATATACTGCAAATAAGGCAAAATGAAAACTAGATATTTGTTGCAAGTTGAATTTCAACAACACAAAACAAACAGTTACAGAGTTACAGGTTTTTAAAGTTGGGCACAACTTCTAGAACGGACTGTAGAAAGCAATGAGACATGAAAAATACTGATCCAGGTGGGAAGCAGAGGTGCTGAGCCACAGGTGGTAGTGCAACAAGACAAAGTTCATGCTGGTGAATACCTATCTTCAGCTCTCCAAGGACATCCTAGAAACAGGTTTCCAACTGGGGAGATAGGCCAGCATAAATAGGATCAATGTTTCCTTTGAAGACAGAATGCATCTGGGTGAGAGGCAAGCAACCAACAGTTTGCACATCGACCAGATCTGTAAAACAAATGTGCCCACAAAAAGCAAGTAAGTCCTGGATCATGGCCAAAGTCAAGAAGCTGACAAGCTTCGTCTACTTCTTCTTGTTCATCAGCTGTAAACTCCAGCAGAAATTTCTGGATGTTCCTTCACTCTGTTCTTGTTCAGAGCTTTTGCATGCATATAGGTTTTACAGGTCTGGGATATTTGTATGCAGACTGCTGGTTCCTTGCCTCTCTGGCATAAGATGGATGCCCTCCAATGTTGATCCCTCAATCAGTTGCATTGTATGAAATGTTTGTTTTGGGGGCAATGGGTCTATCAACCTCCCCCCCCCCCCCCCCCACCAAATGGGGCCCAGGAAACAGCAAGAGAGTTTACAGCTATTGAACGTGAGGAAGAAGATCATGGATGAAGTGCATGTGAACAATGTATTCGAGGGAATCAGGTACCCACCGTAGAGTTAAATACGGGGCATCATCCCGCCTGGCTGCTGTGGATGTTCCTCCAGTGTGGGAACTAACTAGAGTGACCCTTGCAGGGGTCACACTGCTAGCAGAGTCAGACTGGCTCTTGTGATTGTCCCCGGTCTCAGCGAAATAAGCATTGAGAGCTCTCTGCAGAAAACACATTAACAGTTTATTTACTTCATTACAACATTCACACCATTACATGCCCCAGAGAAGAGATTAGAAGAGCTACTGGACTAACACTGATCATTATTTGTGTTGGGAAGCTGTTATGGTGTAGTAGCTAGAAGCTATCCTGCCAGTCAGAAGGTCATGGATTCAGATCCTGATAGGGCCAGACATAATGGGTACCAAATACAGTCCTGGGAGGTAAAGGTGGCTGGCATGATACTGACCACATCACCCACCAGGCGCCGACTGGTCCATAAAATACAGGTCTAGCCCTACATACCCAATATACCTGAAGGCATAGAATATGTTCCTTTACTTTTACTTATGGAGAAGTGGCTGGCCAGGAGGTTACAACATTGGACTCTTGTGCAGGAGACCTGGGTTCAACCCCCGTAAGGTTTTTCTGTCTGAGACAAAATTACACATTCTCCGTGTCTACACTGCCCTAAAAAAGTGGTAGATACAAACAGTGGTGACAGTCTACTTACAGTGGTGACAGTCTACTTACAGTGGTGACAGTCTACTTACAGTGGTGACAGTCTACTTACAGTGGTGACAGTCTACTTACAGTGGTGACAGTCTACTTACAGTGGTGACAGTCTACTTACAGTGGTGACAGTCTACTTACAGTGGTGACAGTCTACTTACAGTGGTGACAGTCTACTTACAGTGGTGACAGTCTACTTACAGTGGTGACAGTCTACTTACAGTGGTGACAGTCTACTTACAGTGGTGACAGTCTACTTACAGTGGTGACAGTCTACTTACAGTGGTGACAGTCTACTTACAGTGGTGACAGTCTACTTACAGTGGTGACAGTCTACTTACAGTGGTGACAGTCCACTTACAGTGGTGACAGTCCACTTACAGTGGTGACAGTCTACTTACAGTGGTGACAGTCTACTTACAGTGGTGACAGTCTACTTACAGTGGTGACAGTCTACTTACAGTGGTGACAGTCTACTTACAGTGGTGACAGTCTACTTACAGTGGTGACAGTCTACTTACAGTGGTGACAAGTCTACTTACAGTGGTGACAGTCTACTTACAGTGGTGACAGTCTACTTATGTAACTGAGAAATAACCAGCAAAATGGTTGTGCCACCTGGTGAGAATGAATCCAACAATGATGGCAGCAAGAGTGACATAACTTGAAGATGGAACACAATACCACAACATACCAGACAATCAAGCATGCCCTGGCTCAGCTATCTATCAACTGTTAAACTGAGATGCCCTGCAGTATAAATAATTCATTGACATGTTACTAGGAAGTTCTATGGGGGGGGGGGGGGGGGGGGGGGGGGGGAGAACAATACCACACACACAAAAATCAACATTTTGGTTGGAGCCTTTCTCAACACAAACCATTATGAGAGGCAAAGCACTCTGGTCACCAGTCCATGGGAGGAAGGAGAGAGGGGGTGGAGGGAGTTAGATAAATAACTAAAAAATATTAAAGGAAGGAGCGAATATACTAATAATAAAACATAAGTAACAGGAGTAATAATCATAGCAGTGGTGGATTCATTTCTTGGAAGAAGAAAGAAGCTATGGCACAAAACATGTCCTTACTTCTAGCAAAGTTTACATGATTATTAAGACTGAGGTCTGGGTTCAATCCCAACTAGTGGCACGATTTTTCTCCTGAGAATGATGGCATTAGGGTGAACCCAGCCTCCAGAAGTGAGTATCAGTTAATTATCCACAACTGTCTACGGCAAGATGACAACGATGCACTTCTGGTCTATTATGGAGGATAGGCGTGGCAGAATGTTTTAACTTTCCAGTTAATTTGTTTGCTTCTGACAGCACTTTGCTAATGTAGTTTCCACATATGGATAGAAGTCTACCATTTTTCTGCCTAAGCTACTAATTTAAAAGCTTGGCGCAGCACTGTGTTTTTCACGTGGAATGCCTTTCATTCCACCACACAACAGATTCCATCACACCATAGACTACATCACATAACAGACCCCACCACACAATAGACACCATCACACAAGAGACATCACCACACAACAGACCTCACCACACAACAGATTCCATCACACCATAGACATCATCACATAACAGACCCCACCACACAATAGACACCATCACATAAGAGAGATCACCACACAACAGACATCACCACACAACAGATTCCATCACACAACAGACCTCACCACACAACAGACACCATCACACAAGAGACATCACCACACAATAGACATCACCACACAACAGACATCACCACACAACAGATTCCATCACACCATAGACATCACATAACAGACCCCACCACACAATAGACACCATCACACAAGAGACATCACCACACAACAGACATCACCACACAACAGACCTCACCACACAACAGATTCCATCACACCATAGACATCATCACATAAGAGACCCCACCACACACTACATCACACAACATAATTCATTACACAACTGATTCCATCACACAACAAAGTTCACCACATAACAGACTTCATCACACAACAACATGAGACAAGAAGCCATGGCTAAAAACATCATCATCATACATCAACATTCCACTCCCTGTCTTGCAGGTAGAACATTGCCAGTGCCGTGTCAGTCCCTGTGATCTCAGCAAACGTTTGACACCTGGCTTCACACTCATCTCGTGACGGTAGATTTGGGTCATCTTCAGGTTCTGTATCAGAATCTGACAGCAAGACAATTACTGGGTTGCTGGCAGACATACCTACAAGTGGTTAAACAACAGGTTTATTGATGGATGTACCTACAAGTGGTTAAACAACAGGTTCATTAATGGATGTACCTACAAGTGGTTAAACAACAGGTTCTTTATTGGATGTACCTACAAGTGGTTTAACAACAGGTTCATTAAAGGATGTACCTACAAGTGGTTAAACAACAGGTTCATTAAAGGATGTACCTACAAGTGGTTAAACAACAGGTTCATTATTGGATGTACCTACAAGTGGTTAAACAACAGGTTTATTGATGGATGTACCTACAAGTGGTTAAACAACAGGTTTATTGATGGATGTACCTACAAGTGGTTAAACAACAGGTTCATTGATGGATGTACCTACAAGTGGTTAAACAACAGGTTCATTAATGGATGTACCTACAAGTGGTTAAACAACAGGTTCATTAATGGATGTACCTACAAGTGGTTAAACAACAGGTTCATTAATGGATGTACCCACAAGTGGTTCAACAACAGGTTTATTGATGGATGTAGAGGTGGAAATTTAGAGAGAGAGAGAGAGAGTTGGCAGTTTGAAGAGACAGGTGGAAATTTAGAGAGAGAGAGTTGGCAGTTTGAAGAGACTGGTGGAAATTTAGAGAGAGAGAGAGAGAGTTGGCAGTTTGAAGAGACAGGTGGAAATTTAGAGAGAGAGAGAGAGAGAGAGAGAGAGAGAGTTGGCAGTTTGAAGAGACAAGTGGAAATTTAGAGAGAGAGAGAGGGAGAGAGAGTTGGCAGTTTGAAGAGACAGGTGGAAATTTAGAGAGAGAGAGAGTTGGCAGTTTGAAGAGACAGGTGGAAATTTAGGGAGAGAGAGTTGGCAGTTTGAAGAGACAGGTGGAAATTTAGGGAGAGAGAGTTGGCAGTTTGAAGAGACTGGTGGAAATTTAGAGAGAGAGAGAGTTGGCAGTTTGAAGAGACAGGTGGAAATTTAGAGAGAGAGAGAGTTGGCAGTTTGAAGATACAGGTGGAAATTTAGAGAGAGAGAGAGAGAGAGAGAGAGAGAGAGAGAGAGAGAGAGAGAGAGAGAGAGAGAGTTGGCAGTTTGAAGAGACAAGTGGAAATTTAGAGAGAGAGAGGGGGAGAGAGAGTTGGCAGTTTGGAGAGACAGGTGGAAATTTAGAGAGAGAGTTGGCAGTTTGAAGAGAGGTGGAAATTTAGAGAGAGAGAGAGTTGGCAGTTTGAAGAGACTGGTGGAAATTTAGAGAGAGAGAGTTTGCAGTTTGAAGAAACAGGTGAAAATTTAGAGAGAGAGTCAGAGAGTTGGCAGTTTGAAGAGACAGGTGGAAATTTAGAGAGAGAGAGAGTTGGCAGTTTGAAGAGACAAGTGGAAATTTAGAGAGAGAGAGAGGGAGAGAGAGAGAGAGAGTTGTCAGTTTGAAGAGACAGGCGGAAATTTAGAGAATGAGAGAGAGAGAGAGTTGGCAGTTTGAAGACAGGTGGAAATTTAGAGAGAGAGTTGGCAGTTTGAAGAGACAGGAGGAAATTTAGAGAGAAAGAGTTGGCAGTTTGAAGAGACAGGTGGAAATTTAGAGAGTTGGCAGTTTGAAGAGACAGGAGGAAATTTAGAGAGTTGGCAGTTTGAAGAGACAGGAGGAAATTTAGAGAGTTGGCAGTTTGAAGAGACGGGTGACTGCTGAAATTGGCAGGAGAGTCACAAGATGAGGACCCCCCCCCCCCCTTTCTCTCTCTCTTCGTTGCTTTGTGTGGAGTGTAATTACCAGGCATGCAGTGGGTCAGTGGGAGACAGCTGATCAAAACTAGACCGAATGGAAATGAGAATGATACAAATACAACTAACAACTCACCTTAACGCTTGGATTTTCTTTGCCTGCCAGAACTATAGCAGCTTAGATTTTGATTTTGCTCCGCAAAAACAAAAAGTAATAAGTAATAAATAAGAACTTTGGTTTACTACTAGAAATAGTTTAAATGGAACAATTTATAATTATGTATTATTATTATTAATATTAATCCTGAGATTTCTGCGCGATTATATAAAGGGGTGAAAACACGCTATCTGTAAGCTATGTTTAACTTGTAAGAAAGAACATTAAAACTAACGTCTACATAAGAGAAGTCCCAGAAATGACATGTCGGCGGATTCAGAAAATGAAACCAGCAATCAACAAGTCCACAGTCTCCTTTCACTTCTGCTTGGACCACTTCCGGTGCGCCAAACATGTCAGCCGTCTAAAAACTTGGATCTTGTGGAGATGTCGGGAACTTCAACTGCGCCCCAATTTTATTTTATTTTTTATTTTTTGTTTGTTTTAAAACTAACCTATGGGTTTGAACGGGGTTTCTGGGATTTGCACCTGTTTGATTCTCATCCTTGAGGTACTAATCCTACAGTTTGCGGTTCTTATCATCATCATCTTGTTGTGCCATTAAATGTCATATAGGACTCGCAGCTAGTCCTCCATTCTGTTCTTTCTACAACTTTCGTTTCAGGGTTTCTCTTGGACGCCCTTGTTTCCTTCAAATTTGTTTCCCATGTCAGTACCTGTTTGGTTATTCTGTCTCCGTTAATGATTCTCATTCTCCGCTGCTCCTCGTCGTGTGCCAAATACATTGCTATCTTCTTTGATGTACAAGTGACCTGCGGAGGAAGCGAGATGGGGTAGGGGTTACCGGTTGCTATGTATTGGTAGTACCTCTGGTGTTGGAGGCTTGTCATGTCTTTTTCATGACAGTTTACCTGTCTTTGACCCACAAGAGAGCAGATCTGAAGTATCCACAAGAGTGCAGATGTGGATCATCCACAAGAGAGCAGATCTGAAGCATCCACAAGAGAGCAGATCTGAAGCATCCACAAGAGAGCAGATCTGAAGCATCCACAAGAGAGCAGATCTGAAGCATCCACAAGAGAGCAGATCTGAAGCATCCACAAGAGAGCAGATCTGAAGCATCCACAAGAGAGCAGATCTGAGCATCCACAAGAGACCAGATCTGAATCCACAAGAGACCAGATCTGAAGCGCATCACACAAAAGCTTCCACAAGAGAGCAGATCTGAAGCATCCACAAGAGAGCAGATCTGAAGCATCCACAAGAGAGCAGATCTGAAGCATCCACAAGAGAGCAGATCTGAAGCATCCACAAGAGAGCAGATCTGAAGCATCCACAAGAGAGCAGATCTGAAGCTTCCACAAGAGAGCAGATCTGAAGCATCCACAAGAGAGCAGATCTGAAGCATCCACAAGAGAGCAGATCTGAAGCATCCACAAGAGAGCAGATCTGAAGCATTCACAAGAGAGCAGATCTGAAGCATCCACAAGAGAGCAGATCTGAAGCATCCACAAGAGAGCAGATCTGAAGCATTCACAAGAGAGCAGATCTGAAGCATGCTCCACAAGAGAGCAGATCTGAAGCATCCACAAGAGAGCAGATCTGAAGCATTCACAAGAGAGCAGATCTGAAGCATCCACAAGAGAGCAGATCTGAAGCATCCACAAGAGAGCAGATCTGAAGCATCCACAAGAGAGCAGATCTGAAGCATCCACAAGAGAGCAGATCTGAAGCATCCACAAGAGAGCAGATCTGAAGCATCTACAAGAGAGCAGATCTGAAGTATCCACAAGAGAGCAGATGTGGAACATCCACAAGAGAGCAGATCTGGATGTGATCATCGTATTATTACAGTCTTTTCCAGTTTTCAAAAAAGAAACACGTGTTTAAAATGCCTAATATAATGTATGCATTAAAAACAAAATGGAGAATAATTCCGTTTATAGTTTATGGGATTCTAGAACCCCCACACTCCCCCTCCCCAATTTGTTTGGGTTCCAGACCTTTGAGTGGGGGTTTGGATAGACCTATTGGCTCCGACAAGCATGTCGTAAAAGGAGACTAATCATGAACTTGCTGCTGTATTGAGTCGAAAGCATATATACATGGACATCTGTTCGCAAATATAGACACTTAACATAGAACCTGTTCCCAAATATAGACACTGAACATAGACACTCAACATAGACACTTGTCACAAATTATTGACACTCAACGTAGACACCTGTTCCCAAATATAGACACTCAACATAGACACGTGCTCCTAAATACAGACACTCAACTTATACACCTGTTCCCAAATATGGAAATCCAATGTTGTCAAACATAGACACTCAACACAGCCACTGGTGACCAATCATATGCATTCGACACAGGCAATTATACATAGACATCTACACCCACATAAAAACACTCAACACAGACAATATACCCAGCTTTTCATGGGGACAATTAGTAGAAGTACTTTGGAGTGGCTGCTGCTGCTTCGGAGGACTGAGCACGCATGGGTATGCCCAATGTTCAGTGACGTCAATTGTGATAACAAAACATAAAATAACATCTTGTAAGGAGTTGGCAGTCCGAAACCCAAGTTCAAGGTGTCTCCTTCGTGCCAAAGAACTGCATGGCTGTTGGATGAACAGTCGTTAACGAAGGCTGTCAGGTCGTTGTAAGGGCGACGCCTGCTGGTGGATGTAATGTCCTAAGTCCCTTCCCCAGCTAATAGTGAGGGTACTGCTGGGGTGACCATTTATTAACCCTCATATAATGCTTCAGGTCAAAATGGACGCTAGGCACGGACCATACAATTATTAATCTACACATACAACTATACATCTACACACACATATAATTATACATCTACACACACACACATACAATTATACATCTACACATACACACACACACAAAAAAAACGTTCAATCAACAAATGCAGTTATATCACATAAGTTTATCTGGTAAAGTTTTATATGTATATATAATATGAGGTACATACACTTATTGCCAAAACCCAGCTTTTGCAGTACACTTTTATAATTGATCTATATACATGTGGCATTATTACGTTTCTCGGGGTGAGGTTCGATCGCAGCTTGTCATTCAGGGAACACGTTGACCATGTGATAACAAAGGCACGCAAAGGTCTATCTGCAATGAGGATTATGGCTGCTTCCAATATAGAGCAAAGACTACTAATACTTCTATTCTACGGTCTGGTCCTTTCCCCCATTGAATACGCTCTGGCCATCCTCACTGTCAGTGCTACCCAGATTGAACGACTCGAAAAGGTGCAAAATGAAGCCATGCGCATTATTTTGGGATGTACAAGAGACACATCCTGTGGAGCAATGAGGTATCTAATTGACTTTCCAACAATGAACCAAAGGATCAGGATGTGGAGGGCTCGGGCATATCTCAAAATATGTGCTGATAAAAAACACCCACTGCATCAAGCGCTTTTTAGTGAAAAGGGCGATAGACTGAAGAGGGGGGAATCGTGGCTAGGTCGGGCAGAAGATGTTATTAGGCAAATATGCAGCCTAACCGACATCATACCTGGTGCAGAATGGATACCTATGCCTCAGGCGTTTATTTGTACATTTTCCTGTATTGTCACACTCAACAGGCGATGTAGAGTAGAGAATCCTGTTGCTGTTAATGCAGAGGTCAACGCTCTCATCGGTGAAAATTCAGACGAAGCAGATGCAATAATCTATACAGACGGATCCGTTATACGCCAAAGAAGAAGCGCATGGGCATTTACAGCACGCTCAGCGGGCAGAACAGTCAAAGAAGCCAACGGCGCCTTCTCCATGACAACCAGCAGCATGACGATGGAGGTGATGGCAGTGACGCAAGCGCTTGCCTGGCTTGAAACACAAAAATACACCCGCGTGTGTATACTCAGTGATTCAATGAGTATGATCTGGAGGGTTCAGGCAGGTTCAGTGCGAAGACAATGGCTTGAATCATTACAGAAGTCCACTGTGCGTGGAGTAACCTTTATTTTTGTTCCGGGACACGCAGGCGTCGATGGAAATGAAAGAGCTGACAGGTTGGCTGGATCCGCTATCACTACCGACGGTCAGCCTATGGATCATGCTGATATTATCAATGCCCTTAGAGAAATGGGAAGGATAGAGGACTTTGGTGGCAGTGAATCAACATCACTCGCCAGAATGGCAGACTTGGGAATTAAGATCGGTACAGCAAAAAACGAGACGCACACCAGACACCCCAGAAGACTTGTTAAAGAACATAGAACTGGTACTATTAGCCATCGGACGTTGTGGTTCATACTGAGGGGAGGATCTGAGCACCTATGGACATGTCCGGAGTGCAATGAGGATAACCCAACTAACTAACTAACTAACTAACTATACATGTGGCATCTACTCCTACAGCATGTTTATGTACACCTACTCAAGCCTTTTGTTGTATCCAAACTTACAGAGACAGAAATGCTTGAAGCAAATAACATTTTCTGTCCAGCCACATCAACCCTAAAGTGTGACCTGAAAGAGCTTTATTAGCTTCTCCCTTGAACTCATTGGTCCTGCATGATATGGTCGAACTCGTGATCTTAGGGTAGGAGACTGTTCTACTACCAGGCGCGTCCACCGGGTTGTGGATTGTAGAGTGGCCTCTATGTATAGGGGTTCGTTGCGAAAATCTTGAACAAGCGGCTGTGGACCAATACAGGTGGTGGTCATTGAGAGGAGGCGGGACAGCCAGATCTATCAACTACATGAAAACTCCATACAGACTTGGACTTACTTACACAGGCGGTGGTCATTGAGAGGCGGCGAGTCGGTGGGACTGCTAGATCTATCAAATACATGAAAACTCCATACAGACTTGGACTTACTTACACAGGTCAGCTGGTTTACATCAGCCAGGTGTAGCCTTTATGGATGACGGAATGAGAACATAATATTCATAATACCGACTGAACACTGCCACTAGGGAAGATTCTGATGACGGACTGAACCCAAGACAAGGCAGAAACGAATACGCTATCTATTTGTTGTTTCAGCCCTCTGCTCAAGTAGTTGCCAAGGTAAGAATATAATGAACAGTACAAGTATATGAAGAATATAAATGATACGCCAGCATAAAATATTGTTATATAATATATACATCAATCATGCTGCACACAATTAGTTTATTAATGCTGCTCCCCAATCACCTGTTACCTGTTTGATGGAAGTCAAAGACAACAACAGCGAACAACGAACCAGTGAAATATTCTAGCCAGTCTTGAGAGACATAGCACAATAGCCACCGCAGCATATTGCGCGAGAGAGGAGAGAGAAGAAAGCGACATGAGTGAAAAAAGAGAGATAAGAGAAGAGAAGGGAGAAAAGAGAAAGAGAAGAGAGAGGAAAGAGTTTAAACCAGGACGAGTGTGTTGTACAGCCAACGTTCCACTGCAGAAATGACATCTTGATTAATTAAGCACAGACTACCAACTACTGCCATCTGAACCAGGAAGACAAAACTAGCACACACAAATATCTATCATGTCTTGGACAGCATAAGCAAATATATATCATGTCTTGGACAGCACATAAAAATATCTATCATGTCTTGGACAGCACAAAAACAAATGTCTATCATGTCTTGGACAGCACACACAAATATCTATCCTGTCTTGGACAGCACACAAAAATATCTATCATGTCTCGGACAGGACACAAAAATATCTATCATGTCTCGGACAGCACACACAAATGTCTATCATGTCTCGGTCAGCACACAAAAATATCTATCATGTCTCGGGCAGCAGACACAAATATCTATCCTGTCTCGGACAGCACACACAAATATCTATCATGCCTTGGACAGCATACGCAAATATATATCATGTCTTGGACAGCACACACAAATATCTATCATGTCTCGGACAGCACACAAAAATATCTATCATGTCTTGGACAGCACACAAAAATATCTATCATGTCTCGGACAGCACACACAAATATCTATCATGTCTGGGACAGCACACAAAAATATCTATCATGTCTCGGACAGCAGACACAAATATCTATCCTGTCTCGGACAGCACACACAAATATCTATCCTGTCTCGGACAATGAACTACAATGACAAAATGCATCGCCACAAATTGTTGTAAAACACATCATAAGGCATGGGTTCTGGGGGAAAAGAGTGACCTAAAGACCTACTAAATGATTCCATCTTTCGTTTAACAATATATAATTGGCATATGCATTTTTTGAATGCATTGTCGACACACGCAACCCTGAATTTAGGCACACGCTAAATAATCTACAGGATCTAAACAAATTCTTTTTCCCCCCACAATGCAATTTTCTCTGAATGTATTTAAACTGCAATTGTCTTTTAATAAAGCCGTTCAGAAGATGATATAATATAATTTCCGTGATTTTTGCAAACACATTCTCTATTATTTGTTTTACTCAAAATTAAACAACAGGTTACTTCCAGTATTCATATTTTTAATTCGTATTATTTTTTTTTTTTTTAAGATTAGCTGGTGTAATTTAAAACGGTAGGGGCCTCATTGCTTTATATAGCTTAGGGTATCATCGAGTATAATTCCAGCCCTGGACACACCCCACCCCACCTCAACAACAGTGTCAACCTAAGTGTTTTAGCCGTTTCTTTCAGGGTGCATGTTTTTGAAATTGACAAAGTTCTGCTACTGATTCTTGGACTCCTCATCTTTGGTGGTGTCTGCATCGTTGCCCTGTTTCTCACTGTCTACTTTTGATTCATCGATCTCGATGACCTCGTCTTTGACTTCCTCTAGAGGAGCCTTCTCTGGTTCTGGCTGTCTCCTGGGCCGCTTTGTCTGCAGCAGACATTTCCTCAGTCCTACAAAAGTGGCGCCAGCTGCAAAAATGTACTCATACACCAGGCCAGCAAGTGTGGCGCCCACGGCCGGACCCAACCAGAACACCTGTGGAGTGGAATGTGTAGAAAACCTTAGTTCAAACACAGGAATTGAGTTAGGAGATGAGTTAGATTATCTTCACAGCACTCTAGACACATCCATAGGCGCTCAGATTCCCCTCTCAACATATTCATTAGCGTCGTGCGGTTAATAGTAACAGTCCTATGTTGGTTAACAAGACTTCGTGTACTTCCAGTGTGCTTCTCATGCACTGGAATTGTGTGTGAGAACAGTTGACGTGAATAGTGACCTACAGCAATATGCTGCGGTGGCTATTGTGTTATGTCTCTACAAAACTAGACTTTCTAAGAAGGCGAGTGAACGTCACGAACAGACTTTATTTTCAAAGGGCTACAAATTGGGCAGGCAGGCCAGAACAGTCTGACTTTCTACGCTGGCAAAGGCACTCATTTTTAAGAGACAATGCCTGTTATCAATAATGCATGTTATGGATTTAATAAAAAAAATATATATATATATATGTATATGCATATGTACAGCAGTAGAGGACAAGACTTTCTACGCGGGCAGGTAAGGCAGTCACAACAAGATTAGACTTTCTACGCTGGCAGTCAAGGCAGTCAGAATAGACTAGACTTTTTCCATGGGAAGTGAGTTAGAGACATGGCCAGACTTTCTAAACAGCTCTCCTCCTGGCACTCTATCGTTCGTATATGCTCTCTCTAACGCAGGAATGATTGCTATCTCATTCTATTTTCTCTGTCGTACGTTTACGTACACACACACACATTTCCCTCTACCTTCATCCGTTTTTCGAGGGTGAGCAAAGACAAAAAGTTGACAGTTAAATCATTCATTCAGCATCAGAAAGAAACTTTGTGAAAACTGACAGGACCCGTTTGTGGAAATTCCAGACCTACATTTGGCGTTTACAAAAATGTTAAACATGTCTTCAGTGACCAAACGATAGGCCTGGCTGTTTATGTTTTGCACTAGACTGCGTGAGATAAGCAGAAATCTGGCCACCAGATTTCCATGAATGAATGAATAACCAGCCCTCTGATGTTATCATGTTTGATGATGACGACTGTACGCAGCTTGTACAAAAACCGCCCACTGAAACAATCTTTGGCTTGTGTCAGTCAGAATACTGCGGTGGAAACGTTGGTTTCAAACAACGGTCGGTATATTCCTTAACCTTCAGCGTGAAGATTCCGCGCTTAAAAAACAGGTTTTGTGTTTCAAAGATTCGCAGTGAGATTCATGTTTTTCATAAATTTTATATTTTAACATGAAGAGAGACAATACTTTAAACGTGAATGTCTGTCTTTGAGGGCTCAATAGTTTCAGGTAGTGGATGATGTGAATCTCATTCTGACCACAGCCAGCAAGGAAGTCTCTTTGTCCCTCGCACGTAGACTGTGCCTTGTCCTCTTGACCTCTATGTCGGTCACTTGGCTTCTGCTGAAATCTCTGTCACTCGATGTGCTGAAGAGACGGAAAACCAGGGCCTTTTTAATTTTTAGACATTAAGGAGCTGGCACTCAATGCGTCTAAGAAAGGTGCAGGCACTCAAAGTGTTCAAGAAAGGTGCTGGCACTCAAAGTGTCTAAGAAAGGTGCTGGCACTCAAAGTCTCTAAGAAAGGTCCTGGCACTCAAAGTCTCTAAGAAAGGTGTTGGCACTCAAAGTGTCTAAGAACGGTGCTGGCATGCTGGCACTCAAAGTATCTAAAAACGGTGCTGGCACTCAAAGTGTCTAAGAAAGGTGCTGGCACGCAAAGTCTCTAAGAAAGGTGCTGGCACTCAAAGTGTCTAAGAAAGGTGCTTGCACTCAAAGTGTCTAAGAACGGTGCTGACACTCAAAGTGTTTAAGAACAGTGCTAGCACCCAAAGTGTCTAAGAACAGTGCTGGCACTCAAAGTGTCTAAAACGGTGCTTGCACTCAAAGTGTCTAAGAACAGTGCTGGCACTAAAAGTGTCTAAGAAAGGTGCTTGCATTCAAAGTGTCTAGGAACAGTGCTGGCACTCAAAGTGTCTAAGAATATTGCTGGCACTCAAAGTCTCTAAGAAAGGTGCTGGCACTCAAAGTGTCTAAGAACAGTGCTGGCACTCAAAGTCTCTAAGAACGGTGCTGGCACTCAAAGTCTCGAAGAACAGTGCTGGCACTCAAAGTCTTTAAGAACAGTGCTGGCACTCAAAGTCTCTAAGAACAGTGCTGGCACTCGAAGTGTTTAAGAAATGCCCGTACTCATGATAAAAAGTATATTACAGTAGCGCAGAAAAAAAAGTGATGCCTTTAAAAAAGAGTGTTTCGCCACTGCACACGGTTGTGTACTATCAGAGAAAAAATTAACGAGTGACTTCAAAAGCCTCGCTGAAATTATTCTGCCTCAAATCAGTAATGGACACATTCGTCACGGTATGACACTCAGTGGTGCTTCTGTCTAAGAAAGGTGCTGGCACCTTCCTAAGTGTCTAAGAAACCCTCAAATACAGCTGGCACTCTCTAAGATGCTGGCACTCTTGATGCTGGCACTCAAAGTGTCTAAGAACGGGGGCAAAAAAAAAAAAACTTCATGCCTCTTTCAACCGGCTCCTAGAATAAGCATTGGTTATATCGAGGCTGCGTGTTTGTGCCTGGAATTCGTTTTCCAGTTATCTTCGTTTCAGTTGCGGTGATCATTTTATGCCTTAGGTTTGTTGCTCATGTTGTGGCGACTCCCAGATATACAATTATTTTCCTTACTACTTCATAAATATGTGTCTTCCGATGGTCTTAGGCGACCCATGTAAAAGGGTCGTTCAACCCAAATAAAGGTCGTGACACACAGGTTCAAAACCACTGTCAATGACGATTACTGCTTGTATGTCGTGCGCATGTGTGCGCGCGTGTGTGTATGTTTCGAAAAAATATGTTTTGAATACTCATTTGCTATACAATGGTTGCAGTGAGGTCAGTATGTATTGTTGTTCGTATTAGTATGTTTAGGTGGTTTTTAATACGTTAGTATCCCCACCAAATGTAGGTCAACTCCATTGATAAGTTTGTTGGACTAGTCTACCGTGGTGAAGGTTATGGGTGTCGCGGTCTCTTGTCTTGCATTTACGTTTTTATTCCGAGGAAGAGGTGACATGTGACAAAGGTTTCGTCACTCTCTAGGGGATTTGTGTGTTAGACCTAGTTTCTTTTTTTTTTTTTTTGGCAGTGTTAAAAGCTTTGGCATGGTGAAACATACAACACGGGATATTAGCGCCAGTTCGGAATAGCCCGTGACCTTGTGTGAAAGTCGGATCGTTCGAGGCCGATCTATTAGATGTGAGGCAGGCTGCAGGTCGACCAATCAGAAGCGAGCTAGTGTGTACCGGTGTGCAAATCGGGAAGACCAACGTATTAATAACCGTTTGGGTTAGTTCGACGTTAGTCTTCCCAGACCCCGCCCATATACACACTAACTTCTGATTGGTAGTCCTGAGCCCTGTGGCCTTCGCACGCGGTAACGGAGGGTAATCCGCAATGCCGTTGATATCGCGTGTTGTATATTTCAGCACACCAGCGCTTTTAACACTACAAAATCATGGAGAAATTGGGTCTAACACAACCACCCTAGAGAGTGCTGCAATCTATGTCACATGCATTCTCTTTCTCGGAATGAAAACGTAAATGTTAGACATCGCAAAAGCCAAACAACAGAGCGGGACAAACCAGTAATCTTCAGAAAAGTCGACCAGCCCAACAAACTTGTAAATGAAAAGTGACCTACTCTATTTGGGGAGACTAGCGTCGAACTAACGGTATGTTTGTGTCGTGTCTCTGGACTTTACGCTTTATGCGGAGATAAGGCGGCGTGTAAGCACAACAGGAAGACACGTGGCTGGATATCCAAGATGGACACTAACAACGTTCTCCAGCAACCATTGGAGCCGACGCAAAGAAAACATAAGGAAGCCCTCCGTCACCTTACATAATTTATGGAGGAAGAGAGAGAGAGGGTGGAGCTCAGTGGCGCTGAAGCCCCAGAGACTAGACGCCCCATTCCTACAGCAGACAGTTATCTTGGCGCGTGACAAAGGCAGACGACAATAAGACAGGGCACCATTGGCGTTCTGGGCTATGTGGAAGCAGTCATCAAACAGCGACGACTGCAGTTGTCTACTCCAGATACATACACCAAATGTAGGATGACGAGGATAGTGAGGTATGAATGAAAATAATAATAGACAGACACACACTACCGCACAAAGGTCACTTACCCAGTGATCTTTCCAGGCGCTGAGGATCAGAGCTGGACCAAAGCTGCGTGCTGGGTTCATTCCCGCCCGGGTATATGGAACCTGGGAGCGGATGGACTCATGTAAACAGCCTGCCACTCAAACAAAACCTAGGATATACATAAGCAATCATCATGTGACCTGCCCACTGGCGTAGGCACCTCATGTCTCTCCCCACAGATCTTGGTCCTTGGTGTCTGGAATCTTTTCCATTGATGATATTTCAGCAAACAATCGTTTCAGGTCGTCGAGCGTCGTCTCTCTTGGTCTGCTCCTGCCTCATTTCATCTTGTCAGTCATCACTGTGTTCTCCAAAGCCAAAGTCATCTCTCTCTCTCTCTCTCTCTCTCTCTCTCTCTCTCTCTCTCTCTCTCTCTCTCTCTCTCTTTCTTTCTTTCTTTCTTTCTGTCTTTCTCTCTTTCGTGTATACATCCCAGGTTTTAATAAGCACTTACAGAAGTGAAGGAAAGAAGTAGTGACCATCGACAGACCAGCTAACACAAACTGATCACCGGAAGCTTCGACTTCAGAAGTAGGCCAGGCTGTCAATGCTGATATTGTCCTCTGATCTCTTTTGTCTCATCTACTCCTAGGTACGGGATAACAGTGCCTGGGAACGTTTCTTGTGCCGTTATCGTCAACTCGAGGGTTTCCTAACTGCTGGCAAACATAGCCTAGCTCCTGCTCCACTTCACTTCGTTCCACAACCTTTTTTTTTTTTTTATTTTTTTATTTCAAATAATCTGTTTAGTTTTTCACTCGAGCATTGCAGGATTAACATCTTTAGAATCCATGAAAGCCTGCTGAATCATAAAGTCATACAACAGTTATATTGGGGCATCAAAAACGAGTACACAGTAGCCTGTCATTTAAAAAAAAAAAGGGCGGCTCCATTGAAACTGACGAACAACCAGAACATTCTCGTTGGAGTTTACAGCCAGTAAGAACCAAGAAGAACAAGATGACTGCTTATTGTGCAGTCTTGTACTGTGTATTTTTACTGACACGCCCCCTCAGGGTCGAGACCACGCTCAACCATCCTGAATTAGACCGATGTCTGTCTCAGATTCTCTACATGCTGGGGACAGGTCTGAAAGTCCAACTGGGCCCATGCATTATTTAAAGACAATGAAATCACACCATGGTGTGCTTTCCTTTTATTTTGTGTTTTTTATTTTTTTATTTACACCTTCGTGTAATTAATTACTCTACATTTAGATACACAAAGGTATCAGCGTACTTACAGCAAACAGGTGACACGTGACCACAGCCAGGCCAATGGTAAGTGGGGCTGACCCCTTCAGATCTGACCTCTTCTCGTCCCCGGAAGCAGAAACAGCCAGAACATAGACGAAGGTAATCAACAGCTCGATCCCAAACCCTGACACGAAGAGAAGTATGACTTTTGTCCATAACATGTTTCATACAGCAACCGGTTAGTTCACACACATCCTGACACCAAGAGAAGTATGACTCGTGTCCATGTTTCATACAGCAACCTGTTAGTTCACACACACCCTGACACGAAGAGAAGTATGACTTGTGTCCATGACATGTTTTATACAGCAACCGGTTAGTTCACACACACCCTGACACGAAGAGAAGTATGACTTTTGTCCACGACATGTTTCATACAGCAACCGGTTAGTTCACACACACACACAGACATGTGAGAACAGAAGGCAGCAGATCGTATTATGACAAAAGAATCTCCTATTAAAAACTAAAGGAAAACAAAATTAAGAAAGCTTCCTTGATACACACTGATGAACGATTTGAAAGACAGATGAACGGTCAATTATAAAAAAGGCAGGCGGGCGGACAGAAGGACAGACACAACAGCCAAAAGGACGAACGGACGAATGGCTGGCTAGCTGTCCGGCCGGATGGATGAATGGGATGGGACGGACAGACATACATATTAGAATAAATTACATTAGACAGACAGGCGGACGGGTAAATAGACAGATGCAGCAAGCGAGGCAGAGAAGTGCGATCGACACAAATAACGTAGAAGAAAAAAAAAACCAAAAAGCGACTAGGACAGAGAACTGAGGAATTACCTTGAGCTGTGGTGATTTCAGCTGACAGTTCGTTGATGCCCAGGTTTCGCTGAGAACCTCCCGGGGTCAGGCGGTACAGGATACCGGCACCGGATATAGCTCCGGCTATCTGGATGATGATGTACAGGAAGCCCCTGGGGAAGACAAAGAGTCGTGATGTTTGGCATGACTAGTTAACTTGATCATGCTTGCAACACGTCAATGAATATAATTCTGAGAGTACCCGTGACTACAGTCAGAGCAGTAACACAATCAACAAACATCATAGTTGATTGGCGCCTTATCCTAATCAAAAATCACATTTAAAACTAGCACTACTGTAAACAACACAAAGTGACACATTCAGACACCGCCAGTTAACGTCGAATGCCACCATGTACCCTCAAATGCCACCAATTATCACAAACACCAACATTTAACATCAAATGCAACCATTTGTTACCAAACACCGCCAATTACCCTCAAATGCCACCATTTCTCTAAAAAACCACCATTTACCATCAAATGCTACCTCTTGGCATCCAGTACCACAAATTAAAAACCAAAACCTCATTTTAACATTAAACGCCACCATTTACCCACAAATGCCACTAATTATGTCAAAGCACCAATTATTACCACCAAATGCTACTGATGAGACACCAAACACTGTCAATTAACTCCAAAATGTAACACCATCATCAGATAACAACATCTACTCACCGAATGATGCTGACCCGCCTGGTAAAGAGGCTAGCTACGGTCAGCGCAGGGTTGAAATGACCGCCTGAGATGTGGTTGAACACCCAGGTCACCGTGGCTACAGTCAGGCCAAAGGTCAGGGCTACCTGCAGCACCCCGGCTCCAGTCGACCAAGCGCCACATCCCAACAGTGTGATGGCTAGACAGGGATGTTTCACAAACAATATCAACCGATACGTTGTTGTAGCTTTAGTTACAATAACCACATTGTTGTTTAGATCAACAAACATTTATTAAAAGATTTATTCTTCCTTTTCGCGTTCATCATCATCAATCGGAAAGTTTTTACAGAACATCTCTCTCTCTCTCTCTCTCTCTCTCTCTCTCTCTCTCTCTCTCTCTCTCTCTCTCTCTCTCTCTCTCTCTCTCTCTCTCTCTCTCTCCCTATCTCTCTTTTAGGGTATGCCCGAATGTCTTTCTTTCTCTAGCCAGTTCTTTAGCCCTATGTGCTTTCAAAGCCAATACATCTTCAGTGTCTTGTATCCACTTTCGCAAGTGTGACTCGACTGCATCGACTGTAAACTCCAACATGTTGTTCGTCCAATTCTGGGCTTCCGTACTATTCTAAGACCTGAGTGGTGTGCCCTCATCCGTTTTACAGACCTTGTTTTTTTAATGCAGACTGTTTGTTCCTCAGCTCCCAGGCAGATGTATTCAGACTTTGAAGGAAACGAAGATTCTATCTATTTTAGCCAGTCTTCCATTGGGAACCTGTTTTATAGGTGCAGCTATCACGGGTTAGCTGTAAACCACAACACATCGTGCCAGCCTTCCTTTTATAGGTGCACGGGTTGGCTGTAAACCACAACACATCGTGCCAACCTTCCTTTTATAGGTGCACGGGTTGGCTGTAAACCACAACACATCGTGCCAACCTTTCTTTTATAGGTGCACGGGTTGGCTGTAAACCACAACACATCGTGCCAACCTCCCTTTTATAGGTGCAGCTATCACGGGTTGGCTGTAAACCACAACATATCGTGCCAACCTCCCTTTTATAGGTGCAGCTATCACGGGTTAGCTGTAAACCACAACACATCGTGCCAACCTTCCTTTTATAGGTGCAGCTATCACAGGTTGGCTGTAAACCACAACACATCGTACCAACCTCCCTTTTATAGGTGCAGCTATCACGGGTTAGCTGTAAACCACAACATATCGTGCCAACCTCCCTTTTATAGGTGCAGCTATCACAGGTTGGCTGTAAACCACAACATATCGTGCCAACCTCCCTTTTATAGGTGCAGCTATCACGGGTTAGCTGTAAACCACAACACATCGTGCCAACCTCCCTTTTATAGGTGCACGGGTTGGCTGTAAACCACAACACATCGTGCCAACCTCCCTTTTATAGGTGCAGCTATCACAGGTTGGCTGTAAACCACAACATATCGTGCCAACCTCCCTTTTATAGGTGCAGCTATCACGGGTTAGCTGTAAACCACAACACATCGTGCCAACCTCCCTTTTATAGGTGCACGGGTTGGCTGTAAACCACAACATATCGTGCCAACCTCCCTTTTATAGGTGCAGCTATCACAGGTTGGCTGTAAACCACAACATATCGTGCCAACCTCCCTTTTATAGGTGCAGCTATCACGGGTTAGCTGTAAACCACAACACATCGTGCCAACCTTCCTTTTATAGGTGCAGCTATCACGGGTTAGCTGTAAACCACAACACATCGTGCCAACCTTCCTTTTATAGGTGCAGCTATCACAGGTTGGCTGTAAACCACAACACATCGTACCAACCGTCCTTTTCAGGGCGAACGCAGAAGAAGAATAAAGGAAAATCAAGTGAGAGAGTGGACTGAAATGAAGACTAATGGTCGCCTATCTCCGGGCCAGGTAATTGAAGATAACACTATTACAGTGAATGTTATTACGTTTGAAAATTTCATATAAATTAGCCTTTACTTCCGGTCAATGTAGTGGATAGGCGGTCTTCTGTTTCAATCGTGGCAAGCTGTTTGCATCTGACAAAAGTCAGCCGTTGCATTTTCCCCATACACAGACTGAAAGGATATAGTTCCATCGCCCAGCTAGGGAGTTAAGTTGCACGGCGCGATAAGATGAGCTGTGGATTTAATTTAGGATGCTTTTCAATTATGGCCAACGGGGTTTATGTTGTGAACTGCAGTTTCAGAAAATGGAGGGGTGGTCTGTTGCTAGAGGGCTGTCGATGCCTCATTCGATTAAATACGTATGCCACTACTAATCCTCTGTAACTGCTGCTTCTAACGTCGAGATACCGCATTTCTACTGCTGGACTGCTCATGTTAGCACACACGACTGCCGTATGCATTTAATGCTTGCGCATGCTACTGGTTTTGCCGTGACTGCAGGCTGTGCCCATTTCTTCGCAGGGTGACAGTGGTAGACATTCTGTGTGGCTTTTGTTGGCACGAGAAAGGAGCAGCCACGGGCTGGCCCATTTGGCCTGAAGTAACGACTGTGATTACCTGAAACGGTAAATTTTACACTGGTCTCCCAATTTACACGCCGCTACACACTAGCTCACTTCTGATTGGACTACCTACTGACCACCTTACTCCTGATAGGTCGGCCTCGTACAAATAACCCCTGAAACAGCTGGCGGGTTTCCTGGGTGACGCCACTAGGCTGGGTCGATCTAAAGCCTCCGTCTCTGTAGTGGTAGGCCAGCACGCTATCTCAATGGCTCCACGTGGGGATGGAAGGATGTATGTGTGTGGGGGGGAGAGGGGGCAGACAGACAGAGGAGAGAGAAGGGTAAGTTCGGCATATCTTAAGGAACTATTTCTTTCTAGTTCAACTACTCGTTGAATGAAAAAAGAATATGTATGAGAGAGAGAGACAAAAAAAAAGAGAGAAACAGACATAGACTTAATGGGGTAGGAAAAAAGCATTCAGGCAGGAAGCTAGAATTTAACACAGAAAGGCAGTACAATGCAAGAAGATACAGAAGACAGAATAGCGAAGATGAGCGGATAAAGTTATAGGGAGCGACAAAACTAGCAAAGCCAGAGAAAGACAAGAAAATGACAATTTAGAAATGTCTTTATCGATAGTTCGGTCTTGATATGATACTGGTTCATTGAAAACAATCAAAGCCATGTTAGTGGTAGTAATTACAAATACAAGCAAAGAATGCAATCGTCAACAAACAAGAATTAATCATGCTGACTACAAATGGCTCCTCTTGGCTGTTTCCCGCCTCCAAACACTGGCACGTCAGTTTCAGCTGTGCAGGTTATAGATTGCATATGCCTGTTGGCCATTCTGTAATTAGTTGTTGCTAAGTTTGGCTTGGGTGTAGTTACAAATGCTGACAATTAGTGAGATTTTAAAAAGGGGCGATAGCAACGGTGTGTTTGCGTATATATGTGTGTGTATGAGATAGAGAGAGGGAGAGAGAGAGAGAGAGAGAGAGAGAGAGAGAGAGAGAGAGAGAGAGATACAGAGAGAGAGATACAGAGAGAGAGAGATACAGAGAGAGAGATACAGAGAGAGATACAGAGAGAGAGATACAGAGAGAGAGATACAGAGAGAGAGAGATAAGAGAGAGAGATACAGAGAGAGAGAGAGAGAGAGAGAGAGAGAGCGCATCCTATGAAAACATATACAGTGCGACAACAACAGTTAACTGCCAAGGGAAGTGTGTGTCAATATTGTGTGTGTGCACCCACCAGTGAGTTTACAATGCGTTACCAACAACAAAAAACAAAGGTTTGTGTACGTATATGTGGGTTTATCTGTGTGCACCCACCAGTGAGTTTACAGTGCGTTACCAGCAACAAAAAACAAAGGTTTGTGTACGTATATGTGGGTTTATCTGTGTCCACCCACCAGTGAGTTTACAGTGCGTTACCAGCAACAAAAAACAAAGATTTGTGTACGTATATGTGAGTTTATCTGTGTCCACCCACCAGCGAGTATGTGTGAATATCTTATTAAACCTCGCGGACGCCGCACTGGTGCCGTGGCTACACTTTCACCGCTGGTCCAAACGTCATGGCTTCCAGGAACAACCAACTGCACACAAATAAGCCAATAAAACGGATTTACACCCAAAACTCAGGCTCTTGCACAAAGCCAGAGTCCTAACAAAGACGAACAACAGGGACTTTCTGCTGGAACTTAAATCTGGTGAACAAAGAAGAAAAGGTAGAATTCTCATCGAGACGAATTATTTGAATATTGACATTAGCTTCCTTGCCGACCCAGCCTATTACGGGTTTCAGGTAATGTCCTAGGAGGTAAAGGCGGTCGGTTCGATACTGGACACATCACCCATCGTCACAATTTACCTGTCATGATGACGAATCTCTGACACTAACACGATTGCGTGACCTGGGAGTAATGCAAGATGAAGCATGTCTCTGCTGCCTTCGAGGCAGAGATAGCAAACATTATAACCAACTCCTCGTGGAAACAACTATAGCACAAGAAAGTCTAAATATTGGCTGTGAGGCAACGTACATGGCACTAGACAAGACATTGGGTGCCAAACAAGACACTGGGTATCTGACAAGACATCGGTTGTCGAACAAGACACTGGGTACCAGACAAGACATTGGGCGCCTAAGAAGTCAGTGGATACCAAACAAAACATTGGGTGCCGAACAAGGTACTGGGTACCAGACAAAATATTGGGCGCCGAACAAGACATGTGGGTACGAGACAAGACACTGGGCGCCGAACAAGACACTGGGTACCAGACAACACATTAGGCACCGAACAAGACACTGGGTAATAGATAAAACATTGGGCGCTGAACAAGATACTGGGTACCAGACAAATTATTGGGCGCCGAACAAGATACTGGGTACCAGACAAAACATTGGGCACCCAACAAGGTACTGGGTACCAGACAAAACATTGGGCGCCGAACAAGATACTGGGTACCAGACAAAACATTGGGCGCCGAACAAGGTACTGGGTAGCAGACAAGACATTGGGCGCCAAACAACAATATCCTGGGTACCAGATAAGACATTTGGCGCCGAACAAGACACTTGGAACTAGTCAAAACATTGGGCGCAAAACAAGAAACTGGGTACCAGACAAGACATTAAGCGCCGAACAAGATAATGGGTACCAGACAAGACACTGGGCGCCGAACAAGCCACTTGGTACCAGACAAAACATTGGGCGCCAAACAAGACACTGGCTACCAGACAAGGCATTGGGCGCCGAACAAAACATTAGACACCAGACAAGACAGGTGGCGCCACACAAGTGAACTTACCCAGAGTTCCGGTAAACTCAGCCACGAGAGACAGCCACAAGTTTGAGGTCAACAGGTCATCGACATTCTCCTCCATGATCTTATACATGGCCAGGTGAGGACCACTAGCGGCTCTGCCAGATCTCGTCTCCCCTCTGCCAGATCTCGTCTCCCCTCTGCCAGATCTCGTCTCCTCTCACACTTCACTGATCTGCCAGATCTCGCCTCCCCTCACTGCTGTGCGGGTGGTTTGGTTGTCCTGTGTGATGGACAAGTCAACCGTAGAGTTTAAACACACAACCAGATACCCACCCCCCCCCCCCCAATCGCAGTCCATTACACACAAGGACACATATAATTATGTGTATGCGGGCTTGAGAAGAAGTGAGGTGAAAGCTCTCTGGGAGTCCGTTATACACAAACACTGATTTATTTATTGTGTGCATGCAGGCGTGAAGGGAAGTGAACAGGCTGATAGATTCGCTTCTGTCGGGACTCTGAACATCCGTGATAAGACGGGTGAGGTGAAAGTTCTCAGGCATCAGGTGATTATCTTTCAGAGAGAAGTGAATAGAGGTTTGTGAATGCTGCTCAGCGAGCAAGGGGAAAGAAAGGCGGACTGCTCGTGTATCATAATCGTAGTAATTTATTATTCTTTTTCTCTTCCTTTAGTGATCTCATCGAAATGTTGGGGGTAGATGTGAGGATGTTTTGTGTTCTCTTTATGCACTGCATAAGTGATCTTTGAGGATGTGTTTTATGCCGTTTTATCTGTTGCGCCGTCTTCTCAGGGCTTTAAGTGCATTAAATTTCTTCAGCGTGATTCTCTGTGGCAGCTGCGACTAAGGACAAATACAACGGCGCATTCACCCTATGAAATTGGCTTTAAACCAGCACTAGAGGGTAGAATCAGTTAATAAATGGAGGTTTTTTCCAGGAGATTTATGATATTCCTCCTAGCAAAACCTTTCCTGGTTGACTATGACATTTTCTGACAATTACCTAATTATGTTCTAGCGAACGCGTTCTCTATGAAGATAAATGAAGATGTGCTGAAAGACACTGACTCACGAAGAGAACTAACTGCCCACATCAGGAGACTATGCAGACTCTCTGATCATGTCATGAGAAGGAGAAAGCTGGAGAACATGACTGTAGAAAGTTTGAGTGGAAGAGAGGCAGAGGGAGACCGAGAGATATGCTAGACAGTTTCACACAATGGCAAGGGAAATCATGGTACAGAACTGACTGAAAGTAAACGAGGTCAGGACTACGAAAGCCACAAGGTATGGACTGTAAGAAGGAAGACAAAGAACGTACTCACGCCAACAAAGCTACTTTGTGTCTGAAGCCAGTACTGAAATGGAAAACTAACCAACTCAATTTGACTTGCATCACGACAACTAGGTTTGTTTGAAGCGAAGATTTGCTAACTGGGCGATTTTGAGCCACTCTAAGGGAACATCCGTGTATGAATAAATGAATTGATATCTTTGCACTCGGGACATTCCCACAGGTGCTCCGTCTCCTTCTTCAGTAAGCAACAAAGAGTCGACATGCTAATAGTACCAGTTGCAGCCTGATCAAAATCCTGAATGTTTCCCCTTTAGTGTTGAATATATTCCAAACCTCCAGACCCTCTACGAACCCCCCCCCCCCCCCCTCGCCCTACTAAATCAGTCCTTCAATGTATGGATTCTCTGTCTGTTCTATTGCACTGTCCAATGAATTCCATTAGCGCCTTCACCATACCCACTTTATCATAAAGTAGCTCAACACCCAGATGGCCGTAATCAGTGTAGTCATGGTCAATCGGAGTCGAGATTTGCCTTTCACGTCATCAGCCATCTTGGGTATATGGTGATAGATGGTCCCTTATTTTTAGACTAACTGGTATTTCGTGCGTAAGTAAAGTAAGTAAAGCTTCCTTTTCCACGCCTTTAGGTGTATAGGGCTAGACCTATATTTTTATAGACCAATCGGCACAAGATGGGTGATGTGGTCAGCATCATGCCGGCCGCCTTTACTTCCCGGGACTGCACCTGGTACCCATTCAAGGCAGGGTCGACCTGGGAGTTAAGGTCATTTTTTAAGAAAGACCACGGAGCTAACCCACGACCTTCCGATCCGCACGCGAGCGTCTAGCCGCTACGCCACGGACGACTCTGGTATTTCGTGCGTGATATGGTCAATATCACGACGGCCACCTTTACTTCCCTAAAATCCTCTGGCATCCGTTTTTAACGGCGTCTATCTTGGAGCAGGTGCATGAATACACAGAAAACATTCAGGAGGAGGGGGTTCAGTTCCCTTATAATTTTCTAGGGAGCCTGAAGCCAATTTTGGGTACGCAATAATAACAATTATTATGTGCCGAATGGTAACGACATGTACTATTTTAAATCATATAAAATGTATATACACAGACTTTAAAAAACAAGAGAACGTCTAACCCCTTTGTAAATTTTACAGAGAAAGGGCCTCCTGGAGCCCGGCCGTGGCCATGTCTTACGTTCAAGGAGGTCGTGCCTCAGGCCTCTACCCTGAACAAATTCGGGGAGGCCTTCAAAGTGCCTCGACCTCCAGTAGTGGCACCCCTGTTCGTTGGATTAGATAATCAAAACATTTCCAGGGATTCAACCCTTACCCACATAGGACTGCAAGCTACACTTGGCTGGCGTAGCCGGTATGGGTGCCCCAATTATAAAATGTTTAGGCTGAACGCGGTCTCTGGGATCTGCCATGTTGGTCTGCCGTCCAGACTGAGATAGCATGGTAAATGTTGAACTGGGCCATCATTGGCGGCAACTGGATAAGACTGTACACACACAAAGAGAGACAGAACAAGCACTACTCACACAACTGAAGCCCCCGATCTCCTACCCATGTGACGTAAGATTTCAGTAGTCGGTGCAGACTGTTGACTTCTGGCAACTGTTTTCAAAAACACTTGTCGACTCAGGAGGCCAGTCACGATATCTTGCAGCCAGCCAACCCCCAGCGCTGATTACACCAGTTAATAAAAGTTCTACTCCTGCATCAGACACCGCGCGTGCAGATTTGCCAAGCAGCGCGCGCCTACAGTTTAAACCACAAATTCGACAGTAAATATGGAAGCTCTCCCGCCACTTTCCCCAGTTTTATTTTAATGGCTGCGTATTTCTAGTCTCCAGTCGTCAAGAATTTAAAAAAAAAAAAAAAGTGAGAGAATTATTTACATCTCCTGCCAGAGGAAGTTCTAGCACTAAAGCTGCTGTTAGCAAAATATCGTATCCCGACTTTTGTGTGTGAACCAGGCGAATGGTGTAATCACTTCTTGTGTTATGACTGCTTAGGGGTTTCTGAAGTTTGCTGATGAAGACGGGTGCTTGTGGTAGTTCATGAGTGGGGCGCCACTTCCCAATTTTGTATAAAATGCAACTTCTAAATTCTGTCTTAAACAAGTGAGTGATGACATACTCCACATGAGACTTACGCAAACTCCACCTGTCTTAAATAGTTATACAAACTCTACCAGTCTCATAGTTACACAAACTCCACCTGTCTCAAATAGTTACACAAACTCCACCTGTCTCAAATAGTTACACAAACTCTGCCTACCTTAAATAGTTACAGAAACTCCACCTGTCTCAAATAGTTACACTAAATTCCACCTGTCTCAAATAGTTACACAAACTCCACCTGCCTCAGATAGTTACACACAGATAGTTACACAAACTCTCACCTCACCTTCAGATAGTTACTCCACAAACTCCACCTGTCTCACTGTCTCAGATAGTTACACAAACTCCACCTGTCTCAGATAGTTACACAAACTCCACCTGTCTCAGATAGTTACACAAACTCCACCTCCCTTAGATAGTTACACAAATCTGTCTCAGATAGTTACACAAACTCCACCTGTCTCAGATAGTTACACAAACTCCACCTGTCTCAGATAGTTACACAAACTCCACCTGTCTCAGATAGTTACACAAACTCCACCTGCCTCAGATAGTTACACAAACTCCACCTGTCTCATATAGTTACACAAACTCCACCTGTCTCAGATAGTTACACAAACTCCACCTCCCTTAGATAGTTACACAAACTCCACCTGTCTCAGATAGTTACACAAACTCCACCTGTCTCAGATAGTTACACAAACTCCACCTGTCTCAGATAGTTACACAAACTCCACCTGTCTCAGATAGTTACACAAACTCCACCTGTCTCAGATAGTTACACAAACTCCACCTGTCTCAGATAGTTACACAAACTCCACCTCCCTTAGATAGTTACACAAACCCCATCTATCTCAGATACACAAACTGCGTGTGTCTCAGAGAGTTACACAAACTCCACCTGTCTCAGATAGTTACACAAACTCCAGGTGTCTCATATAGTTACACAAACTCCACCTGTCTCAGATAGTTATAGAAACTCCACCTGTCTCAGATAGTTACACAAACTCCACCTGCGTCAGAAAGTTATACATACTCCACCTGTCTCAGAGAGTTATACAAACTTCACCTGTCTCAGAGAGTTACACAAACTTCACCTGTCTCAGAGAGTTACACAAACTTCACCTGCCTCAGAGAGTTACACAAACTTCACCTGTCTCAGAGAGTTACACAAACTTCACCTGTCTCAGATAGTTACACAAACTCCACCTGTCTCAGAGAGTTACACAAACTCCACCTGTCTCAGACAGTTACACAAACTCCACCTGCATCAGACAGTTACACAAACTCCACCTGTCTCAAACAGTTACACAAACTCCACCTGCGTCAGACAGTTACACAAACTCCACCTGTCTCAGACAGTTACACAAACTCCACCTGCGTCAGACAGTTACACAAACTCCACCTGTCTCAGACAGTTACACAAACTCCACCTGCGTCAGACAGTTACACAAACTCCACCTGTCTCAGACAGTTACACAAACTCCACCTGCGTCAGACAGTTACACAAACTCCACCTGTCTCAGACAGTTACACAAACTCCACCTGCGTCAGACAGTTACACAAACTCCACCTGTCTCAGACAGTTACACAAACTCCACCTGCGTCAGACAGTTACACAAACTCCACCTGTCTCAGACAGTTACACAAACTCCACCTGCGTCAG